TAAATAAAAAGGTGATCATTAGGAATTGAAAGACATTTCCTGTGTGCTAAATATAGATCACTCTTTTTGATCATTGAGGAAATGATGGTCACACCATTACCTAGCTTTCCATCAGCTTTTTGAGAAAATGTTTACTACCTGCTCATGCACTAGAAGGGAAAGTATGAGCTGATTGCTACGAGAGGAAGGTGTTATTTATTTATTTATTTTGAGACAGATCCTCACTCTGTCACCCAGACTGAAGTGCAGTGGCGCAATCTCGGCTCACTGCCCACCTCCAGAAAGGGGTTTGGTTCGACACATTGGTTAATGTATTCGAATGAATCCCGATGAAACCCTGGTGACGTGTCATGGTGCATTCTTTGCTTTCAACCTTCCAGCAACTTGATCAGTGACATCAGGGAAGACATTCAAAGCCACACTTAGTAAGTTTTTGGACCATGAAAAATTGAATGCATGCACCCAGAATTTATAGTAATCTTGCTGTCTAAAATCAATTAGATTCAGATTGAATTGTGCCTGGTTGCATGTTGTGCTGTGCTTTTAATTTGATGGTGTAACATAACATTTCTGTTATCATTCACTGTAATGCTATTCATTATCTCAAAAGATCGATAACCACATGTGTCCAAGGGTAGGGGAAGAGGTATATACATTGTGATTTCTGTCCACAGAGAACATGTAATATCATAAGGAATGCTAAAGATATAATGTTAAATTAAAAGGCCAACTAAATATGAAATTGTGTACAGTATGATTCCAGTGTGGCTGTAAAAAGAAAGGACCTGCGTACCAAAGGCAAGATTTACTTCTTTTTCTCTTTTCAATTTTCCAATAAATTTTTACATGAGTAGGTGTTATTTTTATATTAAGGATAACATTGTACAAGACAGCAAACTTTACATAAGGATATAAAGGTTAGGGAGAAGGTCCTCTTTCCCATTTTTACGCAGGATCTGCATCAAGCTCACTACCTCTGTTGGGTTTATCATGCCCATCATGAGGCAACAAATTTGTGATATTTGCAGTGTTCTCGGTGCTACTGCTGGGGTTGTGCTAGCTCTGATTTATGAGTTCATTTTCTAACATGGTTTAAGGTATTTTCCAGAAAACTACATTGCAAAATATAAGTGCCAGGCTAAACTGACATGGCAGTAGTTTGGGAAGACTTAGCATTCAATTATGTTTTCTATCTACATATAATCAGTGTTTTCCTGATTTATGGTATTCCTGAATTCACATTGTTTTAAGAAAGCACACTTGCTGGGCATGGTGGCTCACACCTGTAAATCCCAGCACTTTAGGAAGCTGAGGCAGGTGAATAACCTTAAGTTAGGAATTAGAGACCAGCCTGACCAACATGGAGAAACCCCATCTCTACTAAAATACAAAATTTGCTGGGCAGGGTGGTGCATGCCTGTAATCCCAGCTACTTGGGAGGCTGAAGCAGGAGAATTCCTTGAACCCAGGAGGTGGAGGTTGTGGTGAGCTGAGCTCATGCCCTTGCACTCCAGCCTGGGCAACACAAGCAAAACTCTGTCTCAAAAAANAAAAAAAAAAAAAAAAAAAAAAAAAAAAAAGGAAAGAAAAGAAAAAGAGAAAAAAAGAACACTTAAGTATTTATATTGTTTTACATAAAATTAATCAAGACATAAATTTTAAATGTCTCTAAAAAGTATTTTTCAATCTAGATAAAATAACTTTTTCAGTAGTTTTTGTTTTGTTATAAATTCTAATGCTGCATCTAATTTATCTTTTTATATCTTTATATACTTTTATAGGAAAAATTAATGTATAAATACTTCAAATGATATTTAGCAATATTGTTTAGAGCTTGTTTGAAGATTGCCTACTTTATAGCTTATGCACTACCTGCTTGATTTAGCTCTTGCTATTGAAATTTCTCTCCTTTAAAAACAGCATTAACTGTAAAAAAATGCCACAATTATTCTATTTTTTTCGTATACTGTCATAACTGCCATTCTAAATGCAGTCTTCACTGGGCTATGTTGTACTGGAAAATACATATGTAAAAGGTGGGTGAGTTAGGAAACTTTTGTTTCTGAGGAACTTGCTTGCCTTTTAAATTTGGAATCTTCTAACCATCTTACAAATGTTTTACTCCATTCTCTTTAATAAAATGTATTTGGGAAAATTTCCTTTGATTTTTAAAGGGATTCTTCTGACTTAACCTGATTGTTGTGTCATATATATACTCTGGTCCACTTAATTTTTTTTTTGGTGGAGATGGGATCTCACTATGATGTCCAGGCTGGTCTCAAATTCCTGGCCTGAAACATCCCTCCTGCCTTAGCCTCCCAAAGTGCTGGGATTACAGGTGTGAACCACTGTGCCTGAAATTTCTTTGTAACTCATGATTTGAAATAAATATGACTGATTAAAGAAAAGGACATTTTACAACAGGTATATAGAGAGCTTTGTTGAAACATATATTAGAGAGAATTTCCTGAATTTTCTCATATACTATCAACATTCATTCATTCTTTTGTTTGCTCCTTCAACACACAATTATTGAGCACCTACAGTGCTCCAGGCCTGGGCTGCCCTAAGTCAATTTTGTTAGTTCTTGAAGAAATGCAGATCTTATTCTCAACTACACTTGAGTGTTTGGAGGTGCTGAATTACAGTGCTGAGCTGTTTGTCACAATATTACTGTTCGTGTATTGTAGAAATTACAGTGTGTTCATTGTTCCCTCTCCCCGTACAGATTTTCTTCCTTGCAGTTGATGGTGGATTAGAGCAGATGCAGAGTGGAGAGGGCAGGATTGCAACCTCAGCCACCACAGGCAGGGACAAATAGAGTGCTGGGTCAGATTCTATCGGGGCATGTTTGAGAGACTTTCCATCCTGCACTTCTATCATGTGCCTTCCATTGTGCACAAGAGCACACTTTTTCAGCAATGAAAAGCAAAACAAAACAACATAACAAGTCAAGGATGTGTAGTTTGTTTGATTTGGGTAGCTATCTGGGAAACAGAGAAAGCAAGTTAGAGGAACTTGGCTTGTTAAAGCGAGATATACATATTCATGCAACTATTAGGTTGGTGCAAAAGTAATTGCGCTAAAAGCAATGGCAAAATGACAATTGCACAATGACTTTTGCACCACCCTAACAGTTCCTCAGTTCAAGTCCTTAGGAAACCACATCTACCTTCAACAGGAAATAAGAATGGTTGTGAAAGTCTTAGGCAAGCATGCTTCAGTGCAATGCAGTGAGATGGTTCTCAGGCCGTCTGGTGGGTAAAATAAAGTTACCCTGCACCTTCATTTTGCCTCATTCAGGGCTCCTGAGTGACATCCAAGGCCTAGCACACCGAACTGACTGCAACTTTCACTTTTTTTTTTTTGAGACGGAGTTTCGCTCTTGTTACCCAGGCTGGAGTGCAATGGCGCGATCTCGGCTCACCGCAACCTCCGCCTCCTGGGTTCAGGCAATTCTCCTGCCTCAGCCTCCTGAGTAACTGGGATTACAGGCACGCGCCACCATGCCCAGCTAATTTTTTGTAGTTTTAGTAGAGACGGGGTTTCACCACGTTGACCAGGATGGTCTCGATCTCTTGACCTCGTGATCCACCCGCCTCGGCCTCCCAAAGTGCTGGGATTACAGGCGTGAGCCACCGCGCCCGGCCCCACTTTTTGACTAATTGTGTGGTAACAACACAGAATATCAATTCATTTATAGCAGCTGCCTATGGTATGCCGAAGCATAGTAGAGTGTGAAACAGGAGCTTTTCACAGTGATGGGGGCTTCCGTCCTTCCCTTTGCTCTGCATCTTGTAGATAATTTGAAAAGTCATAAGTCATGTGGAAAAAAGGCTTTCTTAAACCTCTTGGGAAATATCTCTCGCTGCTATTACACATGAATTATTATTTGGGATAACCAAAAGGCTAAAATATCTTTGGAATTAGAAAACTAGGCAATATTGCTTTATTCCTTTATTGCCCATGGGGCTGCTGAAATACACATATTTTATTTGAAATAAAATTGTAAATAATATTTTGCTTTTAAAAAATAAGATGCCTCATAAAAATTCAGAAACTCCAGAGCATATTTTTAAAATAAAGGTTACCCTGGTCTTTCCGTTAGAAATAATCACTGTTTATATGTGGAGACGGGGAGAAAGACATACAAGCACATGTATAGTCTCATATAAACATTATGTAATTCTGTATTTATGATATCTCAACTATGCATAGTTATAGAATCGTTTGCATTTCTACTGTTAAAATAATTTTAGAAATAAGAATCGTTTCTATTATTTTAAATACAAATGTACATACCTCATTTTATACACCTCATTTTATTAGCTATATAATATTCCATTTTATATTCACAATGGTCCTTTTTTAAAATGTAAAAGTTCCCTTTTGGTATAAAATGATAGGTTGTTACTCTTTCTACCTACCAGAGTATCGTACAACTATAAGAAGATATTTGTTAGATCAATTTGCTGTGCTAAAAAAAAAATCCACAGAATTCTGGCCAGCAATACATATCATATTCACCCACTCTCGTCCAAAACTAGAAAGAGTTAACATATGTGCTGCCGCCATCGGCACAGTGTGGGAAGGAATACAGTCTCCTAGTTAACTGTTTTTTTTTTTTTTTTTTTTTTTTAAATCACACCCATAATGCAGCTAGAAGAGAATGTCAGGCCAAGATAGAAGCATTTCTATATTCTAATGAAGACAGCAATAGGATTACAAACAAGAAAACTTGGAACACAGAAAACCAAAAGTAAAGGAAAGGATTCAGTTAGACGATCTGTGTCGACTATTCAACACCACCAAAATGCTGTCATTTTCTAATTAAATACAAAGAAACTATTCTCACTTGGTAAAATATATTTCATTCATATACATGATATAAAACCTTGTAACTTAAAAGGAGAAACCATATGAATAGTTCCGGTTTGGATTTTAAACTGATTTTAAAGAATGACTAAGCTGTTTTGAATTCATAAATATGTCTCACTTACTTAATTGTGTCCACAATAGATGAAGCTACAGTCATGCCACTTGCTGGCTTTACTGATCGCCCTCACTTCCAAAATTAGAGCAGTTGCTGTCTAGACCAACTGACGGGGGTTCAGCCCAAGCTGTGGTCCCCTTGGCCTGCAGGACCGCTCTTTGCGAAAATTGCCATCCCCGTTCAGTCTGGGGAGACACATTAAATCTTGGTGCTCTTTGCAGACAGACTTTAAAAAGCTGTCCCAAGAATACATCCTTGCCAGTAGTGTAGCATGTCAAACTGAGGATAAGAACTGTGCTCTATTCTAAAGATGCAACTATTTGTGGACTGGGACGATTAGCCAAAACGAAAGCTGGTGGTCAGGAAGGCGGCTAGGCCTTGGCGTGGGAAGGGCACCGCGGCCATGGAGAAGCACTGTGGGCTGGGCGTGGTAGCTTCATACCTATAATCCCAGCACTTTGGGAGGCCGGGACGGCTGGATCACCTGAAGTCGGGAGTTCAAGACCAGCCTGACCAACATGGAGAAACCCCATCTCTACTAAAAATACAAAATTAGCCTGGCCTGGTGGCTCACGCCTGTAATCCCAGCACTCTGGGAGGCCAAGGTGGCTGGATCACCTGAAGTCGGGAGTTGGAGACCAGCCTGGCCAACATGGACAATCCCCTTCTCTACTGAAAATAAAAAATTAGCCGGGCGTGGTGGCGCATGCCTGTAATCCCAGCTACTTGTGGGGCTGAGGCAGGAGAATCACTTGAACCTGGGAGGTGGAGGTTGCAGTAAGCTGAGATCTTGCTATGGCACTCCAGGCTGGGAAACAAGAGTAAACTCCACCTCAAAAAAAAAAAAGAAAAAAAAAAGAAAAGAAAAGTAAAGAAAAAGAAGTGTGAGGAACAGCATGCCCCAGAGTGGCCATTTGTGGCTTACTGAGACTTGACTGTCCCCCCACCTTGGGTTCCAGATGAGAAAGGATAAAGCTGGGAGAGTCCTTTGTTTATTGAATAATTGTATACAATTTTTTTTGTGGAAAATAATAAAATCCTTAGCAGGAGTTGGGGAGGGAGTCCTTGTGGAAGGAGGGGCCTGAATAATGAAGGTCCATCATTCTTCCCCTAGAGGCTGGGTCCGGTGAGATGAGCATGTCAGGTATAATGTGGTGTCTTGGAAACTCTTAAGTATGCTGTTACTTTTTAAAAAAGGCATACAGGCTGGGCATGGTGGCACAGGCCTGTAGTCCCAGCTCTTTGAGAGGCTGAGGCAGGAGAATCACTTGAACCCGGGACGAGGAGGTTGCAGTGAGCCAAGATTGCACCACCGCACTCCAGCCTGGGAGACAGAGTGAGACTCCATCCAGAAAAAAAANAAAAAAAAAAAAAAAAAAAAAAAAAAAAAGGCGTTCAGCATCCTGGCGCCTTCCATTGCCCAGAAGGAGCAGCAGATCGCCGAGGGTGGGGGCCAGCCCCGAAGGGTGGGATGACCCAGTCCGTGTCTGGCTGTGACAAATGTGGCAGCCCAGTGGCCCACAACCAAAGCTGCCACAGGACCAAGCCTGAGGGTTGACTCAGGACCCCTCATATGCCTCAGGAAAACTGAGGAGAGGATAATTTATGGCATGTGCTCTGAGATTCCCTTAAATAGAAAAGACCAGCCGTTCAGCCTTTCTCCGTGTGTCCTCTCTCCCGTGCCTCTCACCGAATGCCTGGGAAACCAGATCCACAAAAACCAGCAGAGAAATTCTGGGGCCAGCGCAATGTCCAGATTATCACACGGTCCCACGTTCCTTCCTACGGACGCCACCTGGCAGAATGACTGTGAGACTCAGGGAAGTGAAGGCCATGAAAACACCTGGTTCAGTGTCTGGCGCCTGGCTGACCCTCCATCAATCTTCCTTTCCTTCCCCAGAGTGAAATGTGACCCACTGATACCTCCCTTCATGTGCCAAAGAAGTAGCTTATTTAATGAATCCCAGGTAATAATTCACTTTAGAATGCACACTAAATTATAATATATACATATCTTAATTTTCAGCCGAGTACTGCATTAAATTTTAACTTTGGACAAAATGAAAATTAATTAAATTCCTCAGTGTATACTGATTAGGTATTGAAAATGCTCAGAGTAAGGCTCTGGAAATTACAACACTGACAAAGGATAAACCACAACTGGAAGATGGAGAATGGGCTGTTGCTAGGTGAGCTGACTACATTTCCTGCAGGAACCCACAGGTTCAAAAGTGACACTTGTGGCCTCAGAAGGTGCTGGAGTTAGACGCACAGAGAATTGTTAGGTATTTTTGGAGATAACACATATACAAATAATTTTTTAGAAAATCAAAATTTAACTGGACTTTCATTAAATTGGGTTTAAAGAATCAAAGCTATTTGCTGAAGTGATAGCTCCACATCTACTTTCCTTAAAATAATAAATATTTTAAGGGCTGTCTTGAAGAACCTGATGTCAACCCTGAAAAAAATAAACTTAAGGAGTCTTTGTGCTTAGAAGGAGAGGCTAGATTGTGTGTGTGTCTACACGGGCAGTAACATGATTGATGCACCAGAAAGGAGGGGATTTAGGACCTAGGACCAAACTGTCTGTGGAACACACTCCAAGACAGAGCTCAGAAAGGATGTGTCACCCAGGTCCGACCTGGCAACTGAGAGCCCACTGAGCAAGGAGGACCTGGAGACGAGGGTGTGGCACACAGCAGATGCGTTTCCCAACCGCTCTGGCATCCCTCTCAGAGGGCAGAGTCATTTACAGTGTCCCACCACACGCCCCGCCCTCTTGCCATAATACACTGTGGACAGCATCCATCTGATGGCCTGTGGTGGTACAAGCAGCCTTGAACAGAGAAAGTAACTGTGATCAGGGCTCTCACTGTCACTTTGAAAATGTCACTTGTACTTTTCTGGATACATGGGTCTCCTCATTCATACAGGTGGGGCTGAGCAGTGCTCTCACAGAGAGGTCCTCTTCAGAGCTGGGTCTGGGGCTATTTGGCTGAAGAGCAAAGAAGTCAAGAATGCCATGAAAACTGTGGCTTTAGCATCATTTAGTGGCTCATGTTGCCAGTTGAGTTAACTGAAGAATGCATAGAGAAAGTCCAGAGAGTTTTTACTGTAGCATTTTCCAGGTCTTTTCCAAGGCTCAGCTCTTAGCAACGTTGCTCTCATAATCCAGCACATTTGAATAACTTGAATATCTGCTTAGGCTGGAAATATTTTGTTATCATTTAAAATACTTGGGAATTCATCATGTTAAGGTTCGTATTTCCTGCAATGAGAAAGAAGGGAAGCTATTAGCCTCATTGAAGCACCTACTGTTTTCCAGATCTTGTTCTCAGCAATTTCACGTGTATTTCTTTTCATGGCCGAGGGATGGGTGATGAGGTGAGGATGATTTCACAGCTCCAGTTTGCTCTCCCACTGACTTCCAGGTTTGCACTGAGGATTCAAGTTGAGTATTTGAGAAACTCAAGGACAAGGGGTGAGAGGTTGTGGTGTAAGAGGCATTCTTAGGAGGAAGAGAAATGGTGAATCTTTGCTTCAGTGTAGAGAGAGGGGCAACAGCAAGACAAGCAAACAAAAAACCAGAAGTGAAAACCGAGTTCAAAAGGCTGCAGGAGCATGAAGGAGGTGAGGGTAGCTCATGCTTCACTTGGGGAGAGGAGAGAAGGCTTTCTAGAGAAGTCAGCATTGGACTGGGCCTTATAACACAAGTGAAAGGCATTCCAGCACACAGAGCATGGCAGAAATGGGTGGAGAGGTCAAAGTTAAGCCAGTATTAGGGCATGAGATGTTTGGGAAGTGAGATGGAGCCCATTGGGGCTAGAGCCTAGAATTAGGGTAGGCCAAGCTTGGAAGAGTCCCTCGTCCTCCTGTGACTTGACCCTAATATGATGCAGCCAATTTCGCAGATGCAGGGAGGGATCTAGAGAATCAGCAACCTGTTCCCCACTCCTGCTCAGCCAGTGCCCTGCATGTACCCTGCAAGCTTCCCTGGAATTTATAAGTGCACCTGAGGGCGTTTGAGTCCTAGGAAGTTAAAAAGAAGAGCAGCTTCATTTTGTGTTGGGAAAAAAACTTATAGAGCAGAATACTTCATATCTGTATAACTATTGCCTTCATTATGCAGACTTCAAAGCATTTGAAAACCTTTTCTGAGCAGTACCAGTGATGTATTTAGTGCTCTGTAGTGGAAAAAAGGAAAGTGTGTGCAGCCAGCCAGCAAAGAGCTTTCCTGAAGTTCGGTTGACTCAGCCTGTCCCAGGACACTCAGCACTGCATAGGGCTGCCTTGGGGGCAAACTGTTATGGGGTAGAAGGCAGGGAGGGCTTCAAGGAGGAAACAGAAACTTGAACTGGGATTGGAGCATGACGAAGTTTACGTGGGTGAAGGCGAGGGGCAAAAGGATCCTATGCAAGATGCTACTGAAATTGAGGATGTGAAACTGGAGACCAGCCTCCCAGCATGGCTGGGAGAAAGTTGGAACCGGAGAGGATGTCTGGGCTTAGGTGATGGGAGAGTCAGATGGGTGAGCCTAAGTGTGCTGTGTTGGAAGCATTAATGAGTGCAGGTGCCATGATGAGTGTGGCTGCACCAACGTCGTCAGGGTCAGGCAGCCCTCAGAGCCTGGGCGGCACCCTGTGCAGGGCAGCAGGGAGTGGTGAAGCCTCTGGAGAACCAGCGTGCAGGGTGAGCGCACAGACACCAGAGGCACAGATTTTCACCTAGTGCTGGGAAAACAGGGCTTTGCGGGTGGTTGTGGTCATTGGACTATGAATTTTCAATGGACTCTTTTTTTCTAGGGAGAAGTAATTTTAATATTGCAGATTCTGTCCAGAAATGAAATATAAGTGGTTTTAGGAAGTTACGTGATTCTAAGTCGAGAGGGCAGACAGGGGGAAGTAGTCAGAGAGGTGATTTCCAAATTCAGGCATGAAGTGATAAGGTCTGGATGGGGAACAGGTGTTCTGTAGGAAGGTGGCAGAAAGGTAAACTGAGGAACATAAGGAAGAGGCGAATGGAGGGGATAAGTTGAGGCAGGATATGAAGAAGAGAGACTCCACAAGCGCCCGGATGGTATTCACATGCACAGTGAAGGGCCAGCATTGAGGAGAAGGAGGTTCTAAGTGGTGTTAGTCCATTGAGTGGAGCTGTTTTCTCAGCTTTCAGTGACGTGGGCCCAGAGAGCAGGAAACAGGCAAGGTTGTTCACACTCAGTTTTTAAAGTCTTACAATTTCTCAACAACTAAGCCAGAAATTAAAAAACCAGAAGAGTTTTACAATTACATGCTGGAATGTTAAAAAAAAAAAATCAAAACCCCAAAGCCCACCATTTCTTATTATTGCATTTTCTTTATTATTTAAAACATAATTGTGTGTATAGCCACACAGTATGATATTAGGGTGTCTCCAGGAACTGTGAATGAGGTAAGTGAGAAGTAAATGAAGAAAAGAAGGAAAGTGGAATTCCAG